GGCTTCACCAATAGCTTCGATGGAGCGCATTCTGCGAGGGCACGATGCATGAACTGAAAAATAGGAAAAATTAACATTTCTGGTGAGGGATCTTAGGAAGCGAGACTACTCATAAAGGAAGGAAATGTGAAATTTAATGGCGGCATACTAAATTCCTGGTGGCCTTTCTCAGTGTCATAGAAAAAGTTGTCTGGGAGGGATGAGGAAAATAAAAGTTTAATCGAGTCAGTATTCAGATAAAGGCGTGTAGATTTTCTGAAGATCTGTAATTATTGGAAGGCTATTCCAGAGGAAAGTATATCTGGAAGCGAAAAAAGGGAGCGCTTAGAGGAAGAGGACGCCGGAGGAGGTATAATCAAGGACGAGTTGCGTAGATTAGTTTCCTTCAGGTTTCGACGAAGGGTTGCCTGAGGTTTCATGTCGAAAAAGCAATACAACACTTAAGTCAAAATATCTATATGGATGATAACTGCCGAAAATTCGAGGATATATAAATGAGGCTATGTATGATGAAACGATTTCGGAAAGCTGTCAATATTGGTGGACCAGACAGCACAGTTTATACTAAGCAAATTACACTCAATAACAGAATGCAAACTTGAAAAAACGGGTAAATGACAATTTCGTAGGTGGCAAAACAGAACTATGAATAAATCTGAGTTGGATAATGAGGCTATGTAAGATAAAATGGAGAACAGTATGATTCTCAATAAATCAACGATAAAAGCGGTCAGTGGAGATGGTTTATCGTTTAAAATGTAATACTATTTTATATTTTTGCGAGGAAAACCTTTTGTATATGCAGGTAAGACTTGATAGGATTGAGGATATGTTGGGTGAAAAACTACGACACTAGATTTCTGCTTTATGACAAATCGCTGAAACACGACGTGAAGTGAAAATGACTTATGGCAAAAAATAAAAAAATTGTCATATCTAAACTAAAAAACTACGCAAGAGATTAAGAAATTAAATCCAAAAATATAACTTTCACTTATCTTTTCAAAATCGTGCTGCGCGCGTTGACCTTGCGTTTTTGTTTTGCTCGAGAGACAAGTCAAGCGAATAGGCCTAAGGCTTCTTGTTGCCATCTAACTTCCCCCCTTATATATGGGGACGAGACGGACTGTTTCTCGTTGTGAGGGCAGCCTCACTGTTCTCATTTACTGATCGAAGAGAGCTTGAAGAGACTTTGCCAGCTCGGCTGACAGCTCCTCAAGCTTTAGCCCGGGAATTCAGTCGGGTTCAGGAGACTTGTCTGGCCTAATTTGACCGAGGACACGTCTTACTTCCTCGACGGAAAAGGGAACGGTTTCAATGACGACAGTGTCTTGGCTCATTTGAAGCCCTCGACTGTTTTGGCTCATTTCAGACTCCTGATTGTCTTCAGAGGACTCTACCATGAAAACCGATCGAAAGAACTGAGACCGTAATTAAACTTCCTGCGGCCATTCAACTAATAAGTTACCGAGGCTATTCCTTAGACGTGCAATTTCGCTCCTGTGCTTTCTCCTACCGCGGATGTATCCATAAAAATTCTTAGGGCATGTAACGGATTTTGATATCAGTCGGCGCTCGAAAGAAGTCCTACCAACGCGTATTTGCTTGTGGCATTTATTAAATTGCCACTTGTATTCGGCTAATGGTATGGAGCCTGAAGCTGCAAATAATTTTTCCACAGCCTTTGTTTCTTCATCACAATCTTTTTGCTACCGGAGTGAAACAATACCCCAGATCTGAGCAGTCTTGGGAGTATATCTATTGACGTGCAGCGAGAGATCTAGCTTATTGGTGTAGTTTAGACCTAAGTCCTTGGCGGTGGAACATTCATTCACAAGGATGCCTTGAAAATCGCTTGTTAAGACAGCTTTTAAAATAATTCAGTATATATGAGGGAAAGAAGCAGAGCCTTGGAAAACCCTATTGACAGATAGACGTATGAAAAAAAACATGCAGATAGTTACATATCAGTTATGCAAGTCATTGATATCATGTAAATGTTTGACCATCATGCATAAATTTATATAGTCTTCTTTTGAAAGTCACGACATTTTCTGCCAAGACAACGGACGTCGGCAATTTGTTCCATCCCTCAACCTGCCGGTGGGAGAAGAATTTGGCCCGCAAATCGAGTCTGGCATGTTTCGTCTTCAATTTGTATGGGTTCTCTCGGAGATTTGTCGTCCGCGCCATTTCGAAGAAGTCGTCAAACTGAAGAACACAGTCTAGCCCTCGGACGATCCTGAAGGCCATGATCATATCCCTCTGTATTGTCTATAAAAGAGAGGAAATATTTTTAGCTTCTCCAGCCGTCTCTCATAAGGTAAGCCACATAATCCGCCGACTAGCCTGGTCGCTCTACGTTGTGCGTTCTCCAGTAGGGTGTAGTCTTTTTTCGTCCAGGGACACCATGCCTGGACACAATTTTCCAACATTGGTCAAACGTATGTGCCAAATACTCGGCTGAAAAGTTCTTCATCAAAATTTACGCAGGATCTTCCAATTGCGCCTAGAATACCCATAACTTTCTTTGATACCTTGGCGCAGTGAGACGATGGTTTGAGAGTTGACGTCATCCACACACCGAGGTCTCTTAACTCGTTGACTGATTCGAGTTGGTGACCTCCTATAAAGTACTGAGATTCGAATCTCATGGCCTCCTGTTGCTCGAACGTAATCGAATAAGTTGGCATTTGTTACGATTGAGGCTAAGACACCACTCATCACACCATTTTTGCAAGCGATTTAAATTGTCTTGTAATTGTACAGAATCTCCCGGCTTTTCTATTGAATGCCACAATTTGAGATCGTCGGCAAACATTACTCGTTCGCAGTTCAGACAGTCCAGGCAGTCGTTCACATATATTAGGAACAGAATTGGACCCAGAACGCTTCCCTGCGGAACGCTACTGTGCACGGATGCCCATTCCGACTTAGCGTTTCCGATACACACACGCTGAGATCTGCCCGTAAGAAAATCGGCTAGCCATTTCAAAAGATTTCCATTCACACCCATTTGACGTAGTTTACATACAAGTCGTCTGTGTGAAACACTGTCAAAAGCCTTTTTGAAGTCAGTGTACACGGCGTCGACTGATAAGCCCATGCCAATTGATTTCGTCCAGCTCTCCATGGATACTAGGAGGTTGGGTAGACAGGATCGACCGCTTCGAAATCCACGCCGACGTAGACTGAGCAAGTTGTTTTCTTTGAGGTGCCGCATCAGCTCCGTTTTTATTACTCTTTCCATCAACTTGCCACAGATGCTAGTGAGACTCACTGGTCTGAAACTATTTGGGGCTGTTCTCTCGCCATCTTTATAAATGTGGCTTATATTTGCTTTCTTCCAGTCGGTAGGCAAAGCCCCGGTCTCCATCCAAATTTTGAAGATCTTGGATGACCGAGAGGCCAGTTGGTCTGAGAATTCATTCAGAACTTTTGCGAACACGCCGTCCGTACCAGGGGATTTAGTGGTCTGCAGTTGACTCAAAGTTTTATTTACCGTGTCTGTTGTGAAGTTCACCGTGCTAATTGTACTGTTTGATTTGACAAATGGGGGTAAACCCTTTCATCAAAAGCCGGCTCCTCAGTATACACAGACGTGAAGAAGTCGGACAAAAGATTCGCATTATCTGAGTTGTCAGACAACGTATTGCCCTAGTGATCTTTTAGGCAGGGAATGCAGTCCCGGTTGCGTTTTGCCTTATTCACGTATCAAAATAATTTTTTTGAATTTTTCGGGATATTTTTTAAAAGTTTTGACTCAAATTGTGCCCGTTGCCTCCTCAACAGTTTCCGACAAAAATTCCTCTGTTTTTTGAAGTCAGCGAAATGCTCTGGTTGCTGAAATCTGGCGTACTATTTCCAAAGTCTCCTTTTCAACTTAAGGTTCTTCTTTATTTCTGACGTCACCCACTCTGGTCAGGATGTGCGTGGCTTCCTCTTCAGCGGGCAACAGCTCTCTACCAAGTGCTGCATTATGTTCTTGAAGAACAGTCAATCGCTTTCTGGGTCAGGTCCTTGTGCTGCATTCCAGTTCACCTTCTGTAACAGGTTTTTCATTCAGATATAATCCCCTTTCCATACGTTTCTTTCCTCAACAGCTCGAATTTCGGGTACAGAAAAATGACTATACTCCCAATCAAGAACGCAGTGGTCATTTCGGCCAAGGGGCGGGTGCGATTCCAATCCGAGAATACAACTATCATCCCTGGTGATGATGAGGTCCAAACAACTGGACTGCTGTCCATCCCTGATTCGAGTGTTCACTTTAACATGTTGAGTAAAAAACTTAGTTGTGATCAGTTGCATAAATTTCTGTTCGGAGGAGTTTTCTGATCGCGTGCAATACATCAAATCCCATTCTATGTCTGGACATTTGAAGTCACCAAGTAGCATTATGTGTTTGCTTCGAGAAATTTCTTTTATCTCGGTGATAAGCGCATCGTCCGCATCCGTTCGCTGGATTGGCGGTCTGTAAACCAGGGCCATATGGAGGCTTGGATGGTTTGGCACCTTCAAGTAACAACTGAGTATTTCGCAATCAATCTGCCGAAATGGGGAAGACTCAACCCTGACGTAGTCGATGCCATCTCGTATAAATATTGCAACCCCACCCCTTCGTTCGTTTCTGTCCATTCGGAGAAACTGGAAACCATCTAGCATAACTTCTGCAAGGTCAAGGCGCGCAGCTCAATTTCAAAGATAAGTGAAGTTTTGCCTTTATCTGGATATTCTTAAGCAATAAATGCCTGTTTTATACTTGAGTCCCTTTTAAAAGTCACATTTCAATATAAGGTAAAATGTTTCCCAGTTTTGTTTGACAGTCTGACAAAACAGTCGCATTTTACAATAAAAACCTTTGTAGTGACTCCTTTCCCTAATATCTCTTTCTTGTTTTCGTAGTTAAATAGCAATAGTTCTTGCTGTTCAATGCGCATTTCCGTACGTTGGCAAAGTTTTGATCACTTTTATGTAACAAACAACTTATCTTGTCTGTAATGCCCCGCAGAGCACGTGCTAAAAGGCGAAAGCTTGTGGCCTCCCCACCGTCTCTGGGTGCTAAAATCGTGAATGAAGACATTGCAGGTGCCAGCGTATGTTCTTCGTCGTCTGCAGATCTGATTAACTCACAAATCCCCTTAGTACATGTATAACGTCTTGACACTTCAGTCGTCCAAAAATACGCCTCTGCTAGTCGTAGCAGGTCATCAGCCGGTGAAATATTCGATCGGTTGATTTATGGCGAAATAAACAGCACTTCTGAACAAGTAATTGAACAAGCATTTAAACTTATTGGGGTAATCAGTTCGGAAACTGAGGATAGAATTAAACGCAAGCATAATTTCGTACTGCGAAACATTCCGAGCCACTTATCTGCTGTGGAGGAAGCGTATTTGTTCCTACAAAGTTGTGGTTTGAGTTTCAGTGTCGCACAAGCCAAGCGACTTCGCTCGCTTAGCCGTAATGCACCGATATTAGTTACCCTGTTTTCCATGATAGAAGTCGATTTTATCTTGTCGAGTAGGGAGATAGCTAGAGAATTCTGACGTAAATGACGCTGCTCCGTTTTGCCAGACCTCACACCCCTGCAGCGAAGACTGAATAAATTAAAATCGGCAAAAACCAACACCAAGATAATGACACCTACTTTCAGTCTGAATAGGTCTGTAGCAGCCGCTCCAGCCCCCCTTTTCTCCGGCTCCGTTTTGTCGGTCGATGGCCGTGACAAGCACTGACAGGCCGCTAACGCACGACCACCCCCGCCGGCTAGAACTGGGACACCTCCTGTCCAGCTGCAGTGACTCCCGGCTGCACTCAAAAACTAGTATCGCCTAACGCGCGTCGAACGCTTTGGCTTGATTCCCGTGAGGCCTTGTGAGTATGCGCCCTCCACTCGTCCTCTAATTTGTCCAATCACACGACCACCACTCAGTCACCCCCTCCTGCTGACCTAGACACTCACACCCGCGTAAACAACACACACACCGCGACTGACGCTCTCCGTGAACGGACGCTTTTCTCTGTTGCAAGCAAACCGCCAACTTACGGCAACCTGCCCTGTGTACAGAATAAACTAGTCCTCACAGCTCCCTGACTTCTGACAGTAGACGAAACGAACTTATTGTGCGTGGTTTAAGTCGATCACTCATCCTTGACCGCCACAGGTCCTCCAAAACACCATCTGCGGCATCTGCACATCACGGTATAGTCAATTTCGTAGGGAATTCGACTACTTTTAATGCTGAGCTCATTAAACACACCATCACGCCTGGTATAAACACGCCTATATCGACTTTCCCAGAAACCCCCAGTAAGTCTAAGCATGTGTCTAAGTCAAAGGCAAATCCAATTGCTGTTTCATCCACTGGGACACCCGATAAATCGAGCACCATAATAAAATCTTTTCCTCCACAATCGGCTAACAGTGCCACAAATACCCCGACTCAAAACGTAGCGTGTTCCAAACTGTCCCGCAGCCCTCATATCGAGGCAGTTAGGCCGAATATGCCGATTTTTCCGCCGTTTAATAAAACCCTTGCTCCAATGGAAACAATGCGTCCCCCACCCCCTAACTTGTTTCCTCCACAGCCGTTCTACCAATGTATTCCTCATGCTAATGTCTGTACTGGATCAGTTAACTCGTCCAATCCTCAGTTTCGTTCCGGCGGGAATGTATTGCGGTATCTGCCCCGCGGATTTTCATCTGAAAGTAAGTTAGCTTACAATGGTTACCAGTTCATCTGCCCGTCAATCTTTCCCCCAAATACTACCCCTTTTTATCCACGTCATAAATTCTCGATGCCACAAAATTTTTTTCAGAACCGGAAGTTTGCATCCGGACCGTTTGCTCCGTGGGCAACCCAGCGCTGGACGATGTAGCCCACCTACCTCAGAAAATAACAGCCTTTCCCTTCAAACTTTTTGTTTTAAATGCCAGATCCTTGCTTAATAAGATGCCTTTGCTTCAGACTCTGGTGTTCGCCCATTGTCCAGATATTGTTTTAGTAACTGAGACGTGGGCATCAGCCTCAGTAGCTGACTCCGAACTCTCGCATCTATGCTATTATTGCATTCGGAATGACCGCCAAGATAGCCGTGGTGGGGGAAGCTGCGTCTACGTTAAGCAAACACTTACATTTTTGCCGCTTGACCTCCCGCATTTTTCCGCAGTAGAAGGCAGCTGCTGGATCCAGGTTACTCTAAAAAATAAGTTCTCTTTACTCGTTTGCTGTGTCTTTCGCCCTCACAACGCCAACGAAAATTTCGACCGTTTACTCTCACAGGAATTTCATGCTGCGGCCGACTCAAGCTTTAAGTATAAATTAGTTGCGGGTGACTTTTATCTCCCCGAAGTCCGCTGGTCTCCGCCTTCAGGCCCCAGAAGGTTCGAAGACATACTTGAGGCTGTGGATGTCGGGATGTAAACTCAGGTTGCCGATTTTCCCACCCGAGGATCAAGCATACTTGACCTTATTTTTTATAGAGGCTGCACGCCATCGTCAGTGTCATCCCTAGGCCCACTCGGGGGCCCAGACCATGACATAGTTGTTTCAACGTTGGAATTCGAGGCTGACAAAACGTCTTCCCCAAAACATAACTTTATCCGCGATTTCCGATCAACTCGCTCAACCGAATTATTAACACTCCTTAATTCCTACGACTGGACTGATTTTTTCCTTAGTTCGGATGTAATTGTTTGCGCTGCAAAACTTTACGAAATTTTGGATCCGCTTATCTCTCGTTGTGTTCCCCGTAAGAAAATTATTAATGTTGGGGATGAGGTTTTCTTTCCCTTACCCTTTCGTCGCAGATTGCGCAGGCTTTATCGTCGATTCCATCTTCAGAACGACGTTTCTGTCCTGCCCTTGATTTGTGATATTTTTGAGCGGGCTAAGAGATTGTCTGAAGAAAAACAGTTAGCCGATGAGGTTCAGTTTACCGAAACCCATTCGGTAAATGTCTCGAAACTTTTCTCTATAAAAATACGAACTCACCAAAAGACGCAGCTTCCCATCCTCCGAGACGCTCTCGGAAATCTCATAGTTGTAGCCCAGTTAACCGCTGATAGCTTCAATGATTTCCTATCCAAAACGTTTATTGAAGACTCGACCACTCCGCTTCAGACCATCCAGTCATTGACTAGGGCAGTCCTAGCAACTATAAATTTCCCTCTGTGGGATGTGACTATTTCGATTCGGCGTTTTCGTCAATCTTATAGTCCAGGCCCTGATGGTGTCCCAGTAAGCATTTTAAAATCCGATGCAAATACGATTTTCCCATCCCTCTTATGCAAGATATTTAATCTCGCTCTTGAAATTGAAACTTATCCTACATTGTGGAAGGAATCGCACATTTCGCCCATTCTTAAGCACGGCAAATCCACGTCATTTGATGACTTCCGGCGAATTAACACCCCCCGCAGTTTCGAAGATCTTCGAGACATTGGTGAAAGATAAGATGATGTGTCACTTAACAGTGAATAACTTACTGAGTGCTGCTCAGCATGGATTCCCCAAAGCTCGATCTTTTGAAATCTGTCAACTCTCTTTCTTCGACTTTATTCTCCAGTCTAGGAACAATGGTTCTGCACTTTACACAGTATATTTCGATTTCACTAAGGCTTTTCATCGTGTTGATCATGCTCTTCTGCTCTTGAAACTGTCCTCTTTCGGAATAGGTGGCAAACTTTTGGATTTTATATCCTCTTACCTGGGCAATCGTACACAACGAGTTAAGATTTCCATTACTATCTCCAGCCGTGCACGTGTGAGGAGTGGAGTCATTCAGGGTAGTGTACTCGGCCCACTTATATTTAGCCTTTTCGTTAATGATGTACCCGATTTATTTCAGAATGGTAAGCCTTTTATGTATGCTGATGATCTTAAAGTTGCATATCGATATAAGCCGGCAGATCACGACATCGTGCTCGAGCTCCTAAACAACGATCTACAGACTTTTGCCCAGTTGTGCCGCACATGGCGCCTTTCTCTCTCTTGGCATAAGTACTCAGTCATGGTGGTTGGCGACGACCGCCAACCTCAACTAAGTATTGAAGGTCACGCCATAAATGTGCCTGGGGTTATTAAGGATCTGGGCTTATCGTAATCCAGGAGCCTCAATCTCTCGGAACACTGTGCCTTGATAGTCTCCAAAGCACGTAGAACGACCGGGTTTATCCTCCGAAATTTTAAAACTAGGTACATTAGAATGCGCCTTTACAACATGTACTTTAGACCTGGCCTGGAATACTGTTCGTTTTTATTTAGCCTCATGCGTGCTACTGAGCGAAAGAAAATAGAATCCGTTCAACACTTTTTACCAAGAGAATTTTAACCCCGGAACACCGACATTTGTCTTACCAAGAACGTTGCCTGCTTACGGGCCTTGATCCTTTATGGTTCCGTAGATTACAAAAGGGACTATTTTTGCTATTTAAACTCTTATATAATCATACATTTAACTCACTGACCTCATTAAGACATCATATCCACCCACGACGTAACAGTCACCGTGAGGTCTTTTTATTTCTCCCTCTGGCACGTACTGTTAAATATCGTCGGTCCTATTCTGTAAATGCAATTGCTATTTGGAATAAGCTACCCATGAGTGTGAAAACTCTGCAAAATTTTCCTTTATTTAAGAGAACTATTACTCGATTTTTGCTTTCAAAAAAGCTTCCACAAATTTTGGGTGTTGAATCCACTGATCGACTCTACCGTAGCGATGGCGTTAGTGGTTTCTGAACACTATGGCCGGTCTCGCCAGCTGTCTCTCAACGCCTCTACTTGGACTATTCCCAACTTTATGAAAGGAATTGACGTCTGATAATCTCCGATACCGTGCAATCCCCCCCCCCCCCTTCTTGACGGTCGAAACTCTACTACCAGTAGTTTTTTTTCTCCTGGACCCTCAAAACCATGAAACCACCATCAACTGTATTTTTATTTTTCTCTAATTCAGGAGTTTTTTTTCACTGCTGAAGAGGACGTTCCTGCCTCTCAAATCTGCTAGCTTGTCTGGAGATCTGGACCAGGGCTCTAGAAGAGGGTTTTGAGGTCGATGTCGTGTACATCGATTTCCGCAAAGCCTTTGACACTGTCCCACACCAACGTCTTCTTCACAAATTGAGCGACATTGGCATCCAGGGAGATCTTCTGAACTGGATTAGGGCGTTTCTGGTTGGTCGGAAACAACGTGTCTGTATCGGGGATGATATGTCAGAATGGGTGAATGTGACCAGTGGTGTGCAGCAAGGCTCAGTTCTGGGACCATTGCTCTTCATCCTTTACGTTAACGACAGCCTTCAGGAACTCGACTGCGGCAAAATAATGTTTGCAGACGACGTTAAGCTCTGGCAAGTCATTAAGGGTCCGAATGATCAGAGATCCCTTCAAGATAATCTGCACCGACTGCAAGCGTGGTCGAAGAAATAGCTTTTAGATTTCAATGTGGAGAAGTGTGCCGCCCTTCATCTGCGTCCAACCAACTCTCATTCAAATGAGAGTCCGAGGACTTATCACCTGAAAGATATAAGGCTCCCCGCAGAATCTTCACAGAAGGATCTCGGGGTTTGGATACAGAACAACCTGAAACCAACACTGCAGTGTCACAAGGCTGCAAAAAACGCCATGGGAGTGCTGCATGCAATAAAAAGGGCTTTCGTAAATTTTGACGAAGACCTTTTTGGGAGAGTTTACGGCACATTTGTTCGGCCCCACTTAGAATATGGCATACAAGCATGGCGGCCATGGCTGGTAAAGGACCAAGAATGCCTCGAACGGGTACAACGGCGTGCAACAAAGCTGGTAAACGGTCTAAAAAGCCATTCCTACACAGACAGACTGAATTGCCTTAATTTATTCCCTCTGTGTTACAGGCAGCAAAGAGGTGATCTTATCCTCGTCTACAAGATAATACATGGCCTTGAGTATGGACTTAAATTTGAGGACATGTTTCAGTGGCATCTTTCACCCAATCTTCGTGGTCACTCGATGAAGTTACGGACAACAATGTCCAGGCTGAATCTTGGTTCTGAGTTTTTCACGCAGAGGGTAGTGGAGAAATGGAACGATCTCCCTCAGTCAGTCGTGGAGGCTACATCCCTGCAACTCTTCAAGAAACGCTTGGATGATTATTTTTGTCCCCTGTTTTCCCTCGACGGTCTGAATCTGAACTAATACCCCTGGTCCCCACAAATATTTCCTCTGAGACAATGCTACTCAAATGAACCAAGTACTGTTTTTATAGTGAATATTTTTGTTCGTGTACAGTTATTTCTAACGAGCTGACATGTAATTAATAGGGTTTTCAAAGGCTTTGCCTATTATCCTTACCAAATAAACTGAAATAAACTGAAACTGGTCGGATTTGTGTTTAATCACTTTCCTTGACAATGCCTGTAAACTGGCATTGAATAAATTACTATTACTACCATTCTATCTGCGCATTTAACCATGTTTCTGTTAAAGCTATCAAGTCGGGTTGGAAATGGGCCACGGTGAGTTTTATTCCTTCCAATTTGTTGAATAAATTCTGCACATTTGTGCACATCATTCTTATATTATTCGGCTGTTAAGATCTCTGAAAATTGTTTGCTGGTGCTTTTGACTGATAATTATTACTGCATATTTCACATGGCGTACCATGTTCATTAGTCGATTGTGCATTTACTGCATGGTTTTTTACCAGATCGCTCTTGTGAAACATGTCATCTGTCGTTTCTCGATCTACTTACCTCTCTTCGTAATGATCACCTATCTGTTGTCGTTATTTATTTTGATCTTAGTAAAGCCTTTGATAAAGTACCACATAAAAGACTCTTGATTAAATCGGAAGCTATGGGAATTCGCAGTCCACTAATAGACTTTCTCAGGTCATACCTGGCTAATCGTAAACAAAAGGTTTTGGTGGGATCTTCACTTTCCAGTGAAAGTCCTATTGTAAGCGGTGTCCTACAAGGTACCGTTTTAGGTCCTCTTTTGTTCATGCTTTACATAAATGATATTTCAGCAGCAGTTAAACATTCTCAATCATTTATTTATGCCGATGATCTCAAATGTGTATATTCTCTCAAAAAATCTACGAGCCTTCATTGCCTGGAGCAAATCCATGCTGACTTGCTTGCGCTGTCAACTTGGAGCTCAAAATGGCTAATGGAATTCTCTCCGTCTAAATGTCGTTATATGTGTTTTGGACCTGATAGGCTACCCCAACCTGTGGTCTTTCAAGGCACGCCTATGACTGAATGTACCACCATCAAGGATTTAGGTTTAAGCTACACTAGTAATCTTGATCTCTCGCCGCATGCTGACAGAATTACAGCCAAAGCTGCCCAGATTTGTGGCTTTATTTCTTACAATTTCTATCTTCCTGAAATTAAATTAAGGCTCTATCGTATGTTTGTACTTCCCATTCTCGAGTATTCTTGCCCATTCTTTGGTTTAATGAATGAAGCCAGTCGTTTAAAAATTGAAAATGTCCAAAGACGTTTTTCTAAAAAACTTTTAGATAGGGAACATCCCAATATCTCCTACTCAGATAGATGCCAGCTAATTAACCTAAAATTTTTATGGGTTTGAAGACTAGAAGCGGGCTTCTGTCTCCTCTTTCGCATTAATCATAGTTCAAATTTTCCCCGGATTTCAACACTTACCCCTAGTAGTCGTCCATACAATCTTCGCAACTCGTCTCTAATTATACCTCCTCCAGCGTCCTCCACCTCTAAGCGCTCCCTTTTTTTCGCTTCCAGGTATACTTTCCTCTGGAATAACCTTCCAATAAATATAAGATCTTCAGAAAATCTACACACATTTAAGAGAAGGCTACGCCTTTATCTGAATACTGACTCGATTAAACTTTTATTTTCCTCATCCTTCCCAGACAACTTTTTCTATGACACTGAGAATGGGCCACCGGGAATTTAGCATGCCGCTATTAAATTTCCGTATCTGTTCACGTTTCCTTCCTTTATGAGTAGTCTCGCTACCTAAGATCCCTCACCAGAAATGTTAATTATTCCAATTTTTCAGTTCATGCATCGTGCCCTCACAGAATGCGCACCATCGATGCTCTTGGCAAAACCTTCTGTATTCGCCATATACTAGTAGTCTGGTCGCATCTCCTCTGCCCTGTCCTCGCATGGACTCTGATGAATGTAACAGACCGCATCTGGGTTCCTATCGCCTCGGGACTGATCTTCATGATGCCCTCACTGAATGCGCTCCATCGACGCTCTTGGCGAAGCCTTCTATATTCGCCATATACTAGTAATCTGGTCGCATCTCCTTTGCCCTCTCCTCGGATGGACTCTGATAAATGTAACCGACCGCATCTGGGTTCTTGTCGCCTCGAGACTGGTTGTCATCGTGCCCTTACAGAATGCGCTCCATCGGCGGTCTTGACAAAGCATTCTATATTCGCCATATACTAGTAGTCTGGTCGCATCTCCCTTCCCCCATGTTCGGATGGACTCGGTTGAATGAAACCAACCGCATCTGGGTTCCTATCGCCTCGGGATTGATCTTCATGATGCCCTCACTGAATGCGCTCCACTGACGCTCTTGGCGAAGCCTTCTATATTCGCCATATACTAGTAATCTGGTCGCATCTCCCTTAACCCATCCTCGGTTGGACTCGGATGAATGTAACAGACCGCATCTGGGTTCTTGTCGCCCCGGGACTGGTTGTCATTGTGCCCTTACAGAATGCGCTCCATCGGCGGTCTTGAAAAAGCCTTCTATATTTGCCATATACTTGTAGTCTGGTCGCATCTCCCCCCATGCTCGGATGGACTCGGTTGAATGAAACCGACCGCATCTGGGTTCCTATCAGCTCGAGACTGGTTTTGAATTTCGCCACTTATTTTTCTTATTCAAGGCGATACAGGCCAGTCCTGACCGACCCGCCTACGTACCATTTTATGAAATCCGTTTCACAATGCCATATACAGCTGACATTTATTTCGGCCATGTTGATGTCGGACTATATTCCATTCTGTACCGCCACATGCAGGCCAGTCCTCTCTGTATTTTTCTGATGCTATTTTTCTGAGGGTTTTTTTTCTCCTGTTAAACTACTATAATCATTTTTAAATTTTGCTTTGGAGTTTTTTTTTCACCCCTCGTTTTTTTAATTTTCATTTTGCTTAACGGACTTCTAATCTCAAAAACTATGTATTGCACTTTGTACAGATTTTGCCTACCTCGTCTAAAATTCGCATGTAAATTTATTTTTACTTGCTTTGATGGGACACCGACCGGTCTTTAATAAAAATAATTGAATTGAATTGAATAGACCGAATGTGTACTTGTTCTCTTTTGTTGTTTTTTTGAAAATCTTCGCAAGGAAAAGGGCAAGCCACTGGTTATAAATTTGAAGATAAGTGGAAGATATTATTTTAAGTGCTTTTTTCTATGAGACCTAACGACTTTAGCTCCTACTTTTCGTGAAATTTCCTTAAATATAGGCTTATTCATTCAGAACAGCCTGTTGTCATCTCCTTTTTGAGTTCTGCTTGTCTATGCCTGTTAATCACCGGTCGCATTCTGCAGTTCGCATTTTGTGCATTCGATTTTTCTCTAACTGTGTAGTTTACTTTTACATCGTTATCCTCTAGCTGAAATTCAGTCACCTTGTTTACCAGAAGTTTTCTTAATCACAACTGGCCTCCAGACAAGATGAGAGCAAAAGTCACAGGTTGGCCTAAGCTCTCGACCTCTGTACGTAAGCTTGGCTTAACTAAATATAAGTCAGAAGCCTTACCCAAATCTAAGTCAGCAGTTATAACTAGTCAGTCGTCACCCGTTGTAATGGGTCGGCAGCTTACTCTGTCTGCACTTGACAATTGCAATGATTTTTTGCAAAAGTTTGGCATTTTGCTGTCAATTCTTGGAAATTTGTTCGACGGGGACATCTCCGAGATACCCTCTGAAGAATGTAGGCGTCCTGACACACTTGTTCACCTGATAGCCAGTGAATTTAGTGAGAGACAAAAGCGGGCTTACAACTTTTTGTTAAAAAGATTTCCTCGATCTGCTCGGCCAATTGATGTTGCCACCGATTTCCTGTATTCATGCGGGTTCAACTACTAAATAGCCGATGGTAAACGCTTGTCCTCCCGTAGCAAAAATCCACCCATCTTAGTCAAATTATTTTCATCAATTGAAGTTAACACAATCTCGGCCCATCGAGATCGTGTCACTGAGTACCTGGAAAATGCAAAATCTCTCCTTTGTCATGACCTTACTCCTACGGAGCGTAGAATTCAATTATTTTTATTCAAGGCCCGTCGGGTTTCTCTTCTCACATAAACCCACCGCTTCTCAGTCTAATGCTCACCAACTCCGTCATAATAGAAGTGGCCGTAAAGATTCAGCTTGTCCTACTCCTGCGACATCTGACTCCCTCCTTCCCCTTACTCCTACATATACATCTCATTAAAGCCATTTGGCGTATTTGGCTACCCCTAAACTAATAGCAGCAGCAGCAGCAGCAGCAGCAGCAGCAGCATCAGCAGCAGCAGCAGCAGCAGCAGCAGCAGCAGCAACAACAGCAGCAGCAGCAGCAGCAACAGCAGCAACAGCAGCAGCGGCTCCATTTGTCGTTTCGTATCCTCCGGATAGTTCCGCTGGGACATACAAAAATCAATCTACATCAGTTAGACCCATAACTTCCCCTGTTCAACTGGGTGCCGCAAGCTCTACAGTTAAGTCACCCGTGGCTTGGCGTCAGAACGGTGAGACTCCAAAACTGAATCAGACTCCGACCCAGAAGAATGGTAGTACAGTTCTATTTAGGGGCACGCCGCCTTCTCTTAGATCTAACAAGTCTTTACAGCTCAGCACGTCTTCAAACCCCACAGTTCCAATCATATCCCCAAATAATTCTCTGTCCTGCATACTGGATACTTACCAAAGCCCTACTATATATCCAGCAAATAATTCATACATGAATTGCCCTTAGTCATAATTTCGGCTTCCCACCACTTAAGGCCAATTGCACTCAGGTACGTCAACCTCCCTCCTTTGACTTCCAACCCAGACCTGATTTCCCATGCTTTTATTATTATAGCCGCATACCCTCCCTCACTAGCCTTTACTTTCCTTCTAGGCTCCTTCTTCCTCCTATTCCTCCACAATTTAACTACCAACAAGCCAATCCATGTTCTAACTCCCTTAGCATTCCAATGTTAGAAAACTTTATCTCCACATCCTTTAGGTCTCACACCCAGCCTTCTCTTGCTGACTTCCCGTGCGTGAATAACTCCAGACTAACTGGTACTTATTCTCCAAGCATCATTAATTCACAGCTTACATATCCACTCCAAATTTTTTTTAAAATATCGTCGACAATAGCATTGCTGTTCGAAACACATTAGATATTATATTATTGAATGTCAGGTCTGTTGTGAACAATATGGTCCAAATCAGAGCCATTGCTCCCGTAATGACGCCTGATATTATATGTACAACAGAATCTTGGACCCATTCTCTAATTCATGACTCTGCCCTTCTCATAGATGACTTCGATTTTTACCGTCAAGATCGCTCAATTAGGCGTGGGGGCGGTTGTCTTCTTTATCTTTAATCCCACCAAAACACTCTCCATATTACTTGAATGTTTCCAGATTCACGGGAAATTTCTGCTTTGCATCTTTTATCCTCTCGGCGCAAAGGAAGGCAATTATTGGCTGCATCTACAATTCTCCAAATTCTTTAGCCAGTGATGATTCATAACTCTGTGAAATCTCTAAATTAATTTCGGAAGCTGCTTTCGATGTAAAAATAATCATTTGGGATTTTGACCTAACTGAAATAGACTAGGTTTCCAATAGCTGTCCACCTAGATTCCAGCCCTTTATATTAGGTTTATGCCGGTTATCTCCCTTGCTTTGGCTGCGACCTCTACCCTCAGTCTCACTTTCTTAGATTGCTGCTAGAAAATCCTTTCAGGATAAAATTTTGCAGGCCAAGAAACTTGGAAATTCCATTGTTTTTATCGACTTCTGGGACAGAGTTTGGCTTACTTTCTTATAAATTGCTTGGCGAATCACCGCCAACTCTGGTTGGTCTGTGTTGTAACAGCCTAGACGCGCAGAATGCTTGTTGTTAACGGTTCTGTAGCTCCGAATTCTCCATCTAAGTATGATCGTCTTGGTGAATTGATGACTCAGTACGAAAATATTAACAACCAAAAGGGACAGGTATGTCGTCCACTTTTTTAAAAACTTGTAGAGCCTCGAAAGTACTCGCCAGCTGTTTGCCTCAAACCAGATATGCATTTCTGACGCTCTTTCTGCAGTACTTGATTCCGCTATCAGAACACTTTTTCCCGAATTGGAAAATTTCGATGTCATTATAACGCCGAGCACAAGTCCCAAGTTCGGCGATTACCAGTGCAATAGTGCCTTCAATCTGGCAAAGGTATCGATACCATCTTCTCATGTTTAAGAAACTCTCTTTCCTAGGGATGAAAATATCGCCTAAAGAGGTTTCAGAAAAAATTTGTGAACGCCTTTACAAGGGGCCTTTGATAGAAAGGGTTCGGCAACGTTGCCACTGATACTTTTTTAGACTGAAGTGGCAGCCTCTGGTTTCATAAATATCTACATATCAAAAGAAATTGTGTCTGATGAAATCTCCAAATTGGTCCGCTTTGGCTTTACCCTCCCACCCCCTTCACGAAAACTCAAAATTATCGTTGATATGTCCAGTCCTAACATCGCTAAAGAGATGCACGTTGGACACTTAAGGTAATTTAAAAAATCACCCAAGGGTGTCTTCCATTTCTAACATTTAGCCAATATACTTCTGGTTGTCTTGTGAATGAAATTCCGACTTAATATTTATATTTATTCTTCTGGTACAAATCGAGCTTATGTAGTCTGCCCCAACTGGACACTCGTAGTTTTCCAGATACGTGTGAGAAGTGAGGTACCAACGACAAAGAACAACCTATGTCCTGGAATCCTCTGTGTTCTTGTTGTAGAAGATCTTTTGGCTAGACAAACGTGGTTTCCGTAGGCTTTTGGAACCTTTTATCGCATGGTCCACGCCATAACAATTCTCCCTCATAGTCTACTCTCAACTGTCAACTTTTCCTCTGAAAGAAAACTTGTCACGCAAGTTGGTTTGCAGTCTTTCGTGCGTACCTATTGTTACGATGACCGTGTTCGCGCCGCAATGTGTCATAGCCCTATAATTGATTTTGCCGATGAATTTACTACGAGGTGTTGAGCTTGTTTCCTTTACCAGGTCAACAATCATCGGAGAAAGTGTCGCTCGATTACTGGCCTTCCTGGGCCATGATATTCTCAAGCTAAATCATCTCGGAGATTGGGGTACTCAGTTCGGCATGTTGATCGCCCACTTACACGATACCTTTAAGGACCTGGGTGATCAGCCACTTCCGATATCCGACCTGCAGACATTCTACAAGGCCTCCAAAAAACGCTTCGATGAGGACGAGGCTTTTAAGAAACGCGCCTATGAGGCTGTTGTCAAGTTACAGGCCCACGATCCACTCTACCTCCGTGATTGGAACAAGATTTGTGACATATCCAAACGGGGTATGTGATTGTGCATGTCCTGGTTATCAGTCCGGACCATCAGTTCGCAACTGTTCATTTTGCTTCCGTTACTTTTCGTCCAGAGTTCAACGAAATCTACCGTCGGATGGATATTAATGACCTCATTCCGCGTGGCGAGTCCTTTTACCAGTCTAGGATGCAAAACTTGATTACAGATTTAAAATCCAAGAATCTCCTCGAAAATGACGATGGCCGGCAAATTTTACGAACACCCGCCTCACAGGTTCCGCTCATTATGGTAAAGTCGGACGGCGGCTTCACATACGACACTTCCGATCTGACTGCGATCCGACAGCGGATCCAGGAGGAAGGTGCAGAGCGCATTATTTACGTCGTCGACTCTGGACAAGTAATTTCATTTTGGGAGTTCTCATTATTCTCTTCCCTCCTCATCTTTAGGGTGTGCACTTCGACACTGTTTTTTCTGCTGCTGAAAAGTGCGGTTATCTCGTCCCCGGTCGTGTGACAGCCGAACATGTTGGTTTTGGCCTGGTTCTCGGCGAGGACAAGTATGTATTATCTGCTCCAGCAATGTCCGTCTTTTTGCCGTGTTGGTGTTGATTTCTATATTTTCTTAGACTTTAAACCTAAACCGTTTATTCCTTTCCCAAATTTGTAAAAGCCAGTAAGTCAGAAGGAGAACCTAACCCCAAATGATTATTTCTGTTAACCGGCGAGGATCCACAAAAATCACCAGATTTTCAATGAGTTACGCTGTTAAGCCTCAAGCCATGTCAGAGTCAGTTTTAGACCTACTTAACTGTCCATCGTTTCTTCAACTCTCTGAATTATCTGACTCAAGTAGTACATTGACTTTCGTCTTCCAGGAGGGCTGTTATTTCGATTTTTACAATCCGGTCTTTGCTAGATTGAGAAAACATTAGCCCATGTTTTCCACACACACACACACACACATCCGAGTTTGAGGGATGTTCGTGGCAAAGAATTGTTTTTGTCTTGAGTCAGCAAACTTTGTGACAGGCAGACTTGTTTATTCACTAGGATATTTATACTCACCTCCTATCCCCGAGCTAAACTGTTGGGCAGACTTTTGAACCTTGCCTTACTCCAGAATTCTAAAAGTGCATCTTTTAGCCAGACGGAAGTAGTCGGAAATAGGCTTTTGTCAAACGTGCAGAATCTAGCTTGGGGACGGCGGCCACATTTTAAGTTCAGTATAGCTGAAGCTGGCAGGAATACAGCTAGCATACGACCCTCGAGATGGAGAGCCTAATAAGACGTGCAAGCATGTCGATTTCTGCGCCTCGAGAAACCAGGTAGCGTCTTCTGAGTCGTACCGGCAACGTCACTGGCGCCCAAATCGAAGTGCAGTCCACTTCAATGGCCAGTGCCCTTTTAGTTAGGAGCCGCATTTAATTCCCCAAGAGGAGACTTTTGCTAATAAACGCACAATTTACTAACCAACCCTACAATTCCCACGAACTATCCTTCCTTAGAATGCGTTAAACAGGGCAAATCTACACATACGCGTCATAAAGTTATCAGTCATCTTCCAGTAATTTGTCTGGAGTGATTACACGTCTCTCAGTAAGTGGCCGTCTTTCCAGCGCGTCATATTCTAATGCAAGGTGTCCAGAGGAGAACTAATCTGTTTTCTTGACAAAGTTCAGCAAGTCCTATTTTGGCGTCAGTTTGCCCCCTTAATTATCCCATCCACCTCGACATTTGGGCTTTTGCTTTATTCCCCTTTTTAGAAAGAAATTCAAAACCAGATCGGGATCTACCGTTAAGTTGGTCGATCTCCTGAATGAGGGTGTAGAACGCTCGCTGGCAAAGCTGAAGGAGAAAGGCCGCGACAGGGTAGGATAAAATCTCCCCACTATTCACAGTCCTTTGCACTTCATTTTAAACCGACTCCTATAACTTTGGGTTGGGGTTGACGTGCACAAAGTCCATCCTTACTGGGATATGTAAGGTATGTAATTGAACAGAGGAAGGGGGATGCAGTGTAGTGCACGCCGATTGCAGAGATGAGAGCAGCACCTAATCCGCTTGCGGTACAGACCGAACAGTGGATGTTTAGGCTGCAAATAATCTAGTGAGTGCATGTATTCCAACTT